ATCAATAAAGACATGTGTATGTATATTATGTATGCTCGAGTATATGAACTGCAGCTAATAGCTGATAAGAAACTTTAATCTTTAATTAAAAGTTGCTCGAAAGCAAAACGCGGCTCGATAAGCAGCAACACATATTCCCGTTGCTCAATACCTGACAGAAAAAATTACAGTTCGTTAGAGAGAATATAGCTTCAAAATTCTTCCTATACGTCTTCACATCCATTCCGAATTTCGCGGCTTTATATAATTTAGATGAATATGTTGGCATACATGAAGAAGATATAGATGATCCATCCAAAGCGGGCTCCCAGAATAGATAAAAACCTTTGAGGTCTCGACATCGTCAAATGAAATCGCAAAGATATCTCCGATTATGTTCAAAGTTCAAAATATTCAGATCTTTTGAATTTCTGTTGTTGTATACCCATCCATTCAGTGGGAAATCAGAGTATAAATTTTCTGCGTATATACATACATTAGATGAATACACAGATTTTGTAATTCATAGTTTTTGGATACCACCCGCAGTTCGCCATCAATTTGAAAAAATAATACTAGAGACTGCTCTTCTAAATATATGTATACATACATCTTAACATTGTAATCACGTTCAATAAGTTTCATGAAGATAGTCCCATGATAAGAGAAATTATTCAACAAGTAAATTCTCATAATATTGCCCACATTATAGCCCAGTTCAAGTGCAGTCGCTGCCTAATGCGCAGTTAGCAGAGCGCGTGGCTATGCGTGCGTGTGGATGCATATGTAAGTGTGCATAAAAGAAGTGCAGAATGATAAAAATATCAGCTTGGAGGGCTAGGGTATCTCTTAGGCAAGTAGACTCGGCTACAGTTCTTCTTCTTCTTTTTTGAGATTTGTTTCTCTTCTCTCCTTTGTTTTGTAGACATGAAATCTTAATGAAACGGACGGACGGACGCACAGACGAGCTGGGCTATATCGATCAAGATTATATATACTGATCAGGATTACATATACATTACAGGGTCTGCGATGATTCCTTCTGCCTGTTACATACTTTTCTCAAAATCATTATACCCTGATTTCCCATTTTTAATGGGCTTAGGGTATAAAAAACCTGCATCTAAAATAAAAGCTCCCTTTAAAATAGAAGTCGTTGAGCTTTAATATGTACACGTACTTATGTGACGCACTTATTAATTGCTTCTAGAAGTTGTCAAAGTTCAATCAACTTAAATAGTTCCCCAAAATGAGGGTGGTGTGAGTTGGGGTATCGTTTACGTGTATGCGTGTGTCTGTATAAAAGTGAACGTATATAGAAGGCGCTTATCTGTTCATCTGACACTTCGGGGTAGAGTACTATTATTGCTACTATTATTTATTCGTGCACGAAGTAGAATATATAAATGCTGTATAATGTGCTTATGTTATCTGTGTCAAGGTGTGGGGCATCCGCAAATATTTATACAAGAACATATTAACAATTTAGAATATATAAACATACTTAGCATGCCAAATATTTATCAATCTGGAATGGAATCTGGAAAATCTAACCAATTGATTTCTCTTGAGTTCCTCTACCAAATGACTAATATCGAATCGGGACAGACGATTTAGCAAATACACATGTTTGAATGTTATATCATAGTATATACACTGCGCGTCATCAGGTTAGCGCCCTTTTTATACTCAACCTCATCGCTAAATAAAAGCTTCATCTTGAAATTTTTTTTGTTATACTACATCTATTTATCTTAAAAATAAACAAGTAAGAAGACTCTATTCGAGACTGCTCGACTAGGAGATACCCTGAACCCTCCAAGCTGATATTCTTATCATT